AATGGGTGATTCAGTACGTTGATGAAAAAAAAATGATGAAAACTGCTGATGCAAAGAAAAATGAAGCTGATAATGCTGGTTTAGTGATTTATTGTGACCACATTTAGTGGCACCATTTGGTGGAACTATGTCGTGGCTTGACCTTAATGCTATCTCTGTGACAGAAAAAAAGGAAGCAGGATAAAAAATTGTATTGATTTGCTGATGGGTGCAAGTTAGAAGTATGAAAGCAATGAGTTCATTGATGCAACATGAAAGGAGAAGCACATTAAGAAAATTGTCTTAGTGTTAAGAAATTCTCATGGATCAGAAGAAAGCTTTTTCATTTTGTGAGTATCAGAGTGGGTTACAGACAAGTACAAACACCTGACCTGTTTCTGTGCAGGTCCTGCATGCTTTGGCATGTAATCTCTATTGTAAACACAGATATCACTCGAATAAATCTTACAACACAACTGCAAATGTGTTTTTTTTACAGTTCAAACCTCTTTGGGATTTTTCACCGTAATGACCATCCAACCACAAATATAGTAGTTCAGTTTAAACTTAATCTACAGTGAATAGAAAATAATATCCTTGGTACATAATCAAGAATTAAGCTGCACTTTACAGCGTTTCAGATGCGTTTCAAAGCGCTTCATGTTAATTATTGTTAAAGGTAAACACAAAAGCCATTTTGGGCTCAACATGGTCTCCCAAACAGCCATGAGATAAACAACCAATTAATATGCCGCCAGAACAGTGGATGAAACAAGCTTTTTCAAATGGTCTGATGCGATCTTTAAGATCTACCTGAGGATGGGCAAATGGGACCTCAGTTTTAGTGTATTTTCTTAAGGATGACAATAAATGATTCAAATTGTTTGGCTACTTGCTGTGGAGAGATAAAACACGACTCCCGACACTGATTGTAGATGGACAGGAAAGTTGAGGAGGTGGAATAAAGAAGAGCTGTGTATCATTTTTAAGACAGTGTTGTCACAAGCAATCAGTGTCTTTTGATGTGATTTATATCATTATAATATCAGTTTGCAAACAAGAAAGCTTTCTCCACTTTTTTTCTAATGATGAACCCATTAACTATCAGTTAATGGAAATGATTTAAATCACAGGGTTTACTGCAGCAAAATATAGCTGCACAACTGGAAAAAGCCACATAGTGATAGCACACAATTTTATGCCCATTATTTCATTATTTGGCAAGATCTCAGTACCAGACAGAGGTAAGGTTCCTTAGATAAATAATACAAATCCTTACATTTGATACAACCCCTTTCACCTTGGGAGCACATCTCAAAGCTCTTCACAGATTTCACTTTAAAGTTTAGTGTATTTTGTAGGCGACTTTCCAAGAAGGTATGTTGTACCACATGGATTTTGTGACCTTCTTGAAGCTACTCAAAGCAGTGGCTTCCTTAGGGATCACCTGACTGCCTACTCAGATCAGAAGATGGTGCATGACCCTGGGAGGAGTGGGGAATTTAACAATGCTTTAAAGAATAGAACTTAATTTAGGGTGCAATTACTTGACGTGCATTCAAAGAAATTGTGCTGTATAATGATGCATTCCAATGCATGTACCTCTTTGTAAGAGAGTATATCAATGTAATATTGGGCATTGAACATTACATAAAGTTGAAAATATTATCAGAACACAAGAGTGTGAATCACACCAGTGCTGCTGCCCCAAGATCAGCTCAAGGCTGTCAGGGTATCTTATAATAGGTAAATCAAAATAAAGACTAATATTATTAGTCCCAGAGAGGGAGGCAGATGTTGCAGGCCAGTGCTCAGTCTGTTTGGTACTTACCCCTCAGTACTCTCTTTTAGGTCATGACTGAAGACCTTCCTCTTCGACCGTGCTTAGTCACCTCCTCCCTCTCCCCGGCTTGATGTCGGGCTCCACCACTGTTAAGCGCTTTGAGAGACTGCCCCGCGTGAACGGCTCTATATAAATGCAAGGCAAAATACTGCAGATGCTGGAAATCTGAAAACAAAAACAGAAGTCGCTGGGAACACTCAGCAGGTCTGGGTTTCCTGACCTGCTGTGTGTTCCCAGCGACTTCTGTTTTTGCTATATAAATGTAAGTTGTTGTTACCACTCAGCAGTGAGATCAATCTCTGTCCACTGAATTATTGGCTTGAGTGAGTACCTTATAATTTCCTGTGACACCAGTGTACCTCCTTTTTATTTTTATAACGTCGCCAAGGTCAGAGTTATCTTAAATGCAATGCTGCAATAATGTTTATGATCGTCCTAACGTTTTGGACATATTTCATCATTGCAATAAGTTAGACACAAGAAGCAAAATCTGGATTGGAATCAAGCTTTTTCAAACCAACAGAAATACAAATCGGGCAAGAAAATACTTCAGTGTCAGGTGGACCAAATTTTTATTTATAACAGTGACAGCAAAGTTGCTATTGCATTGCTCCCATTGTTGTTTCACTCACATGCAAGTGTGGAATTTTCCCTAGAGTTGTTGCTTTGTGCTTCTGCTCGCATTCTGTGTTCATATTTCATGCTGGCCTTCATATGATAGGAGGTAGGCAATTTAATTTGGCAACTTTCTGTTACACCCACAAAACAATACTGTGGAGTCCTGTAGCTCAGTGGTTAGAGGATTCACCCCACAAGTGAGAGACCTGGGTTCAATTCCCGGCAGGGAAAACCTTGGATAAGTTTCCGTACTCCACACGCCTGATAATAAATCCTCAAGAAAAAAAAACAATAATAATTTGTTCACTCAATCCACGACTGTTTGTGCGACACTAATGTGCGCAATTGGCTGCCACGTTTCACCTACAAATATAAGCAATTCACTATACAGTCTGTTCTGTGAAGCGCTTTGAGATGTCCAGAAGATGTGAAAAGCGCGAAATCAAATGCAAGAATTATTATTATTAATACAACTTTACATTTATATGCCTTTCATGTCAAGAGGACGTCCCAAGGCATCATAGAGTCCAGGGTTTGCACCGAAGCTGGTGGTGGGGGATGACTGTGGTGGAGGGGAGAAGGGTGTCAGAAAGCAGTCAAAGAGGACCTTGGAGGAGACAAGCCAAAGGGACTCCAAGATGGAATTCCAGAGAGTATGGGCAGTGCAAAAACAACAACAAATTTGCCCACAAAATACACTGTCACTACACTTTACAGTATATTCTGTGATGTGCTTTGAGACGTCTGGAAGAAGTGATAAGGCGCTATATCAAATGCAAAGATTATTATTTATAGTGCCTTAATACTTAAAAGTTCACTCCGCAGAGTTTATACAATGCTGATATTGTTTATCCACTGCCAGTGAGCAATGGAAACTGATAAGGTTGCATCTGCTGACAAAATATTGCAGAACATACATGTTCCTGCTGAGAAGACTTCATCCAAAATCATGGTTGTGGTTGGCAGGAGGTCACTCTTTCCATCCATAATTAAAACTAGTTTCCACATCCACTGGTTTTATATCAGCCATCTGAAATCCAACAAATATTTGGTGTGTATATGTGTGGTGGGGAGGGGTGAGGGAAGGAAAAGAGGAAAATAACCTAGACTGGATGACATATTGGTACAATATCACCAATCTTGCCCCCTTGTGGACCAATCTTTCAGCCAGCAAGTAATAATAATAATCCTTGCATTTGATACAGCACATTTTCACATCGATGAGAGTTCTCAAAGCACTTCACAGAATATACTGTAAGTGAATATAATGTGTATTTTGTGGGCAAAACATGGCAGCCATTTGCACACAGCAGTGTCCCTCCCACAAACAGTCGTGAATTGAGTAACCAAATTATTATTTTTTTTATGAAAGGATTATAATCCACGGAAAAGCGATCTGCTGATCGACTGATAACCAGGTTCCTACTTACTGCTAGTAAATCTAACCAAGACGCTATAGGACTCCACAAGTAATGAACATCCGCTTTGTCAGAGGTATGCAAGTTTCTTGCTATCTATCCTACAGTATTAGTACCACCAAAGTATACAGTGCATATTGTCAAGATTTCCAACATACTATCCTACTGATGAGTACAAGATAAACAACACCTAAATCAGAAAAAAAACACTCATTCACAGTTACAAATGTTAATATTCAATAAATGAAAAATACTCATAAAATAATATAACTTTTTTTTCAAAAAACAAATTAGTTAATAACAATAACTGACACTTAAAGTTATGCGTTTTTGTAGAGAAAGGCAAAGCCATCATTGGTTGGGGAGCAGGGCTTTAAACACATCTCGTAAAAGTATAGTGATCACGTAATGAGCACCCTGAGGGTAAATTTGGTTTTTAATTAGAAATCCATAAACAGTTTTATATGTTGTAAAATGTCCATTGTTTAAGGGTCAATAAGTAGACCTGAATACACAATTTCACTTATTATAAAAATATTTTATTAGTTTTAACTAACTAGATTGATTACACAATTGCATTGTTAATTCATCAAATGCTGCCAAATGTAGACATTTTGGATGTACTTACGTCTAATTCAGTGTATCTACACTTGCACTTTCTATCTCTTGCCTGTTGCACATATGTGCCATAAGGACAAAGTACTCCCCTGTGCACACATACCATTTCTCTTTCCTTGTTACTAGACTGAGGATCACATGGTAGCTGTTTTGAGAATCCCTGTTATTTATGGCTGGAGCCACTAGAACAGAATTGTTTTAATTTCTGGTGGGCAGCTGGGAGGTGCTGATTCCCAGCGTAGCGGTGGATATGGGCTTCTGCGCTCTGGCACACCTAACAAACAAATTAATCTACAGGAAGAGATATGTTCATTGTTTCCTGGCAATATAACAAGAACAATTCCCTGACACTCTCGTGGGGGCTGGGAGGTTTACGTCAATATTTCTTAACAGTTCAGGGAGGTTCTCAAGAGTGACTTGTCACATCATGTAACACACTGGTTTTCGGTAGTCCACTGCTCCGGGAACTGTGAATCCTGGAAGTCATCAGTATATACAGAAATTGCAAGAGCTATACAAAATTGTGAGATTGATTTCAGAATAATTTTATTATAAAATAGTTCACTTTAATGTTTCTCCCAAGCCCATGTGATTCCAAATCTCTTTTATTGCTATTTTGTGTTCGGTTCATTTTCTCGCCTGGCAAATTGTACATGACAAAGAAATGACAACAGAAATCTCACTGGTCGGTGCAGTGTTGAAGGACTCATGTAAACCAATTAGAAATTAAAATCTCTTTTTCTGGGGAATAGTCTTAGAGTTTGACAAATGAAGGGTCTTTTCTTCAGAGAGAAATATTTAGCAGTCTATTTTCCCACAATTTAAAATACACTGTTTTATATTATCTGAACAAGAAGAATAGCTATGTAAACAAATCTTTTTTGCGGTACAGAAACACCCAAAATACCAAGTAAAAACAAATTCAAGTTGGTCGAAATGTTTACTTTAACTGAACTGGAATTTTTTGATCAAACCATGGCGATCCTAATGCTGACACTTAAGGGGTTAAAGACTTTTAACCAATGTCAATAGCGTATCCTTTGAAGCTATTAAACAAGGGACTGTATTCGTTTGCCCAACTGAACATCACTTCATAAATTGCAGCCTCCTAAAAGCTTGTCAAATAAGTTGCCAGAAACCGCCTAGTGGTTAGCACTCAGTTCCTTCCTGCTTGACCTATTATTTGATATTTGACCAGTTGGTTGCGAGACACTTGCTCTTTCGAGCTGAAATGTCACAGGGGCTTCATGTCAACTCCCTGACATGCCGGCCTGACGTGCGTTTTTTTGCTTTTGTGTGCTACAAAGCAGAAAATGCAGGGCAACAGCTAAATTTCTAATTCAGTGCAATTTTTTTTCAGGGGGCAGAGGGAGGCAAAGGGAAGAGGTAGTCAACCATGGGATTCCAACAAAGCAAGAATCTTGTTTTTATTTTTACCTGATTTAATCCTCCCCACCTCTCGGTTCTCTCCCATCTTCCAATCATAACCTCATGCTTCAGCAATTTTCCTTTAGCTGGGAGGGCGGCGGACGTCTGCACACATGTAGCATGCTTGCTGTGAGTCCCGCTGGATAAAGTGATAAGAAACTCATGAACTGACTGCGCCGCTTTAGAACTGCCAAAATTCAGAACCAGGAATGCAACCCAGAACCATTCTGATTAACGTAACCACTACAGCTCCTAGCTGCTAAACAACTTTTTTGGGCCATGAAGGCCAAAGAAGCAATTATTTCACTAAGGTCTGTGAGAGCTAAATGAATTAGTTGCTGTAGTGACATTCTTTCAGGAACCAACACTGCGCAGTCCATAAACATGTCACCTCCAGTCTTCTCAGTACAGGTGTTTTACCTTCCTTATCAGACAATAACTGATAAAAAGAATGAGGTTGAGGGTCTGCAGGGACCAGAGACCAACAGTTAACTCAGTATGTTCAGATGGGCAACGCTATCATCATGTAACTCAGTGAGAGGCAATCTGACCTTCTCACATTGACCAGGAGTGACATTATTGTGCAGAGAAGAACCAGTCACATCATTTCTGCTCTGCACAACCTGTTTAAAGTTTGCAACTAAATGCTTGTCTTCAGTTCAGTTGACAAGAGAGAAGAGGGGGCTCAGTGAACCATGGCAAGGCTGCCATGAAATGACAGGAATCATTGGCATACATTTCAAATAGCTTTAGCGATCCTATTAAAGTGCTGCATCCCACCTTAAAACTGACATGTATGAAAAAAAACTTTGATAGATAGAGACTAAAATGGCTTATTGATTTCTTTTAAGCCGGTGGAAAATTACTTAAAATGTGTCACTCTTTTGCATTTTAAAATATAGTTATTCAATATAAAATGAAAATCACACATTATAAATAAAAGCTATACTTAACAAATAAACTGCTCAGCTATACAAAAAGGGTTTTGAACAGCAATGGTGTGGAAACATTGAAATACATAAATATAAGATTGTTTACAATTGCCATCATTTTAAGAGACACAAACTGCAACCGAAAGAGTTGTTTTCTTAATTCATATATGTACATCAAAATAGCTTGGATCTGTTATCTAAATGCATTATAGGGCGTATTTTGTGCTGGTCTTAAGGACCCAATGTCCGAAATAGTATGAAATGAGTAGGATGAGGAATGAGAACGGGTTCGCCTGTTCCCTGGAGGATCCCTCAGAAAGCTGTAGGAGACATCAGTTTCTGGATGCAAGGGTGCAAAGTCTTGGTTGACACTCTTCTCAGGTTGCAAGTCCATTTGAGACAGGGGCGTGAATGGCTTTTCCAATACATCTCTGGCAAGCTGCGTGATGGGAATGGAGGGAGAAACAGAAAAGAACAATCAGAATTTAATTCTGAAAGGCAAGAATCTGGAAAACTGTTTATAAATACAATTTTACATTCAATTGACGCAAATGGGAACATGACCTGGTGTGAAAGTTTATTTTCCAACATGTACATGCTGAACTCTACTTTCGGCAAGTCCAAAGCAGGGTGTGATGTTCAGCATGTATACAAGGCAATAATTTCTACATTATTAAATTTAGAACCGGTTACTATCATCACTGCAATATATTAAGTCTTACTTAATGTTATGCTTCTCAATAATGTAAACTTCTGTTTTTTGAATTCTTGACAAACAAGCGGGTCATAAGGGAGGAGGGAGAGAAGGGGGAAGAGAAAATTTTGTTTGAGTTCTTTGTTTACTAAAAAATACGGTATTCTGGGATCTCTGGGATTCGAAGGTCACAAAACGTACGTTCAACAATACAAACCCTGCTTTTCAGGTATCGCCATTGAGAAAGTTTCTGGCTCATTCAGTCATATAAATATCACATGAATTTCAAATTTGACAGTGAGTGTTTTTCTGCTCTCCATGATCAGGTGTCAGCCTGGCTCAGATGGCAACAATCTCATCTCTGAATCAGAAGGTTGGGTTCAAGCCCCATGTCGGGACTTTGAACTTCCCTAATCTAGGCTAACACTTCATTGCAGGACTGGGGAAACGAAGGCTCAGCCCCCGATGGTGGCATAGAGAGTGCAGGGGATACGCAGAAAGCATAGTGGACGAGTGGAGGAGAAGGTAAGAGAAGATCATAGAGAGGAGGTGCTAGGGCATAGAGGGATTTGTAGGTGAGTGCGAGGGCTTTTGAAATCAAGGGAGGACTGGAGTAATGGGTGTATGGAGTCTGGTGTAAGATACGGGTAGCGAAGTTTAAAATAGAGCTTCTGCATGGTGGAGCTAGAGACCAGAAAGAAATGCATTAAAAGTCTAAGTGGGAGGGAGGTAACAATAACTTGAATAAGTATCATTGGGTGTAAGATAGTGCCAGTGGTACGCAATGTAGTGGAGGTGAAGGAAAGTAGTTTTGGCCATGGTATGAATGGCTGGATGGGAGGGGGCGAGGTGGGGTGCTGGTGTTGCAGCTGCTATTGAGCTGCTCAACCAATGGGCGGCTCAATAGCACCATCGCAGTTAGGGCGGGTGGAGGGCCAACAGGAGCGAAGTTCAGAGATTGAGTGGGAATTTGAGAGTTTTCTCCACAACAACTTGCATGATGAAGGATTGACATGGGGAGGGGATTTAGGATGTAAAGGTAAGGAAGGAAGTGGTCTGAGATTGCAAACTGAAATTGAGACCTTATGTAATGACAAGATGTAGATGAGGGACGTGACATGTTAAGGGAGTTTGTTAAGGGAGGAGAGGAAAGCAAGGGTCAGTCGGGTTCGTGTGAGTGAGGAGTTCGATGAGCTCAACCAAAATGCCATGGATAGAAAGATCTTTGATAATGAGGCAGCAGATGTTATTTATGGTGATAGTAAGAGAAGGGGAGGGGGAGTGAAGGAAGGGAGGAAAAGCTAGAGGAATTATGACTGGAAATAAAGTGTGGGAGGAGAAGCCAGGAGTGAAATGGGTTGCCTTGATAGAGGTATACAAAATTATGAGGGGTTTTGTTAGGGTAAATAGGGAGACGTTATTTCCATTGATAGGGGAGCCAGTATCTAGGATACACAGTTGCCAATAGCCACAAGAACAGCAATAGGAAAATTAGGAGGATTTTTTTCACCCAGAGTTGTTGGGATGTGGAATACTCTGCCGAGGAGGGTAGTGGAGGCTAAGTCCATCGCAGCTTTCATGAGGGAAGTAGACAGGCATGAAAGAGAGAGGCTTGAAGGAGCATGGGGAAAAGGTGGGGCATTGGAATTGAAGCACTCTCTTTGCTGTGTAAACTAGTGCAGCCTCGATGGGCTGAATGGCCTCCTTCTGCATTGTAATCCAAGTTTCTAACTCTACCATCTTTTGATTACAACATATGAATGAGTGAATTTGAAGACACCATTAACATGTATTGAACAGTAACTAGTTTTCCACAAGTGAACACAGCTTCTCAAATAAATATCAGGAGAAACTTATTCCAAGAAAAGCATTTTTTTAAATTCCTTATTGGCATGTAGGTCAATTGTTGATTTAATTTAAATAGAACAATAATTTTAGAATATGCTGCTTTGTGCTGCTATGATGAGAAGTCTTACTGCAACACTCAATATTGTTAAACTCTAAACCACTTTCCACTTTTTTTGTTGATGTAACTTTTTCCACACAAACATCTTCACGTCAAATAGCACAACACAGCAGGAAATGTTGTTGCTCTGTGAACTAATGAGGTCTAATATATGGCAATTTCTAACTTGATTTCTTAATAGGGAAGATAGAAGTGTGACACTCTGACCCATGGGAATTCCATTCCTACGAAATCTATTTTCACCGCAGAATTCCCGCAGGTCGACGTGATATGTGTGATGTTTGCACAGTTACTCAAGAAATACCCATCCAGATTCCTTATGAAGAAATACTATTAGAATTGCAGTGCCAGTGAGGAAGCATTGCTTAATTACATACAATTCATGTCACTAGAGAATTACTATCCATTTTATTTAATGCTAACATACTGTATATTGTAGTCAAATCTCTTACAGATATATTCTGTTTAAGAATATGTTACTGTTATAGTAAAATATTATAAAGCACCTCTCATACCTTCACAGCACGCTACATAGGCCATCTTGAGAAGTTTATTAAAAAATAGACTTATCTAACTCACTCCACTATGATAAATCCACACAGATGTTTAAACCTAAAACATTTGATAATTCAACTCAGCAGAATTCTTCATAATCATATGCAATGCGATCCTTTCTATTCCTTTGGGATCCAGACATGGAAAACAGAGAAGCCATAAGGATTTCTACAGACTGTACTGTCTACATTTGCTGGCAGTAATTATTCAGATCAGCCGTCTTTTACTTTCCACAAACATTTCCATTGTCAGACACAACAATGTTTTTGAATGCCAGTCATCAAGATAAGTGAGCCCTAGATAGTTAACAATATATTTTAAACTTTTTATGTCACAGATTGCCAAGTCAGTCTCCTCATTAGAAGTGTGCATGTGTGTATTGGACGGTAAGAGAGGAATGAGGTTGAAGCCAAACTACATAACTTCATTTGCAGATCTGACTGAATGCCAGATTCATTGGTCTAACCTCTCTCTGCTTGTGAAAACTGCATGTTCACCACTTTAAATGCACTAATGGCACGCCTAACAGAACAGCTTTCAGTATAGCCAAATAACTCTCAATTTAGACGATAAAATGTAAATGACAAGACTGATAGAATTTACCTTGGAATAGAGAGGTGAAAAAGAATAGAAAGCCCCCTAAGAGACACAGTAAGCATCCACGTTCAATCCTCTAGTGTTTAAGAGTTACCATCTCACGCATTCTCGACTGGCTCAGCTCCAGTTTCCTTTTGGAACCATCTCAGATAGAAGAAATTACTTCCCCTACTTTCTTCCCAACTGTCTCTGTTCTCCAAATTTGAGAATTTTGACCACATTTTTAAAAGCCCTCAAATGCACACTTGACTCTTATGACCTGTGATATGATGAGATTATCGTATGCTATGAATTCTGAATAGAAAATAGTGTCAATGTTGAAAATAAACTATTTTCCAAGTTATTTGGTGGAAGAATTTACAAGTGATTCATTGAACCTAGAGTATTTTAATTTTGTTAAAATTCTTAGTTTTTGAGAATTTGCACTCATTTTAACATATATTATTGCAAATGTATCTTTAATGTCTATAAATTCAAGTAGATTAAATAAAGATTGATATTATACTTAAATCAACAATGATGACATTCAGCAACATTTAATTTTTGTTCATGTAAGTTCTTTGCCATTTTCTGTGCCCACAAAAATAATGAATCCAATGCTATACATCTGGAATACTACCTATTTCTCAAACAAAATTTATCCTAACAATACTGCTTTTAATGCTGGATTATGCAGCATGAGGTGAGATTAAGAACAATACAGTATTAAAATGAGCTGGTCACCAAATCTGACTAAGCCAGGGGTAGAAATTAGCTTGAGAACAAAGGTTATAATTTTTTGCTTGCATGTCCCCCGACTTGCCTGCCCCACCATTGGCGGGCAGCCTTGCGCCACTCTGCTCCCACCCTCTGGAACTCCATCACGCAGTCCCTCCGTCTTGCCCCCTCCCTTGCTTCCTTCAAGACCCACCTCAAGACCCTCCTCTTCGACCATGCTTTTGATCACCCTGCTTCCCTTCCTGCCCTCCACCCTCCCCAATCCCGACCGCCAGCTTGGGTCCGAAACACAATGGGACATCCTCCCGATGTCCGGGCGCTATACAAATATAATTTTGTTGTTGTACATTGAAGTGACTGAAAGGTAATTCAATTCAGGTATTCCCAAAAGGATATAAACAAAAGCACCAACCAACTCTAAGGACAAGCTACTTAGTCCAAGACTAATTGTTGGAAAACGGATCCACGAAATGTATTAGCATAACATTTCCATTCCTGAAGTTCCCTATCTTTATGGCTTCTCTGATGCAATAAACGAGAGCGACATGCAGGTGTTGAACTGAACCCCTCGCCCACCCTCACACACACAATCCTCAAAAGCAATCAGCAGAAACTTGCAACGCTTACTTAGCAAGATTTATTCCTACTTTACTAAGATGTAAAGAGAGTATTTCAGTTGATCAGATTGTTGACATTTGGATGAAGAACATATTTTTACATTTGTTAAAAATGGAGTGTGAAGCGCTTTGAGACAACCTCCTAACGCGATAGGCACTATATAAATGTAAATTATAATAATAAGAATCCTTGCATTTGATATAGCGCCTTATCACATCGTCTCAAAGTATTGTACTGTTTTATCATATGTTCAAATCAGTTTTTTTAGTAGCAAATGCACATGTGAAAGAAT